TACTGTAACTATAGGTATAGTATGTTATAGTCATAGTATAAACTGAGGCCACTATAGTCATATTTTGAATATGATAAACCAAGCTATAGTACAACTATGGTTGCACACCAGCAACACCCCCTTGGCAGAGTGCAGCAATAGGCAGCAATCAAAGCGTAGACGCACAGAATTGTTTCAGATCTTGAGAATGACCACTTTTCTGGTTGGTCCAGGATTATCGTACAGTGTGACATCCTTCTGACTTCGCACTGGTGAAGGTTAGTTGTAGTTCGAAAGTTCAGAGCACACTTAAACACATCGTACTTGTTGATGTAACACGCTCATATCCCAGAATTGTGTGTTTTTTTTTTGTCGGAAACATTGGATTTGATGGTACACCATGGTCCACCATTGAGGCCAACAAGACGCCGCCAGTCATACAGGCAGTGGAGAGTGCCCAGCAGTGCTCACAACTGTTGATTGATTATAAATTATATCATATCATGATATATCATATCATTATAATTTATTATATGGGGTTGTACCAATTAGTGTCCAATGTTGGGGTTGATCACAATCCAGTATGGAAAAAGGGTGCAGAATTTTCGGTTGATATATTGATTTGTTCAGCCAGAAGAGGCTAAGGTTCAGCCCAGGCAATAGACCGGAAGCATCCGTATGCTTTTTGCAGGGGGTCGCTAATTAGGCATTGGAGATCATTGGAGCACATAGTAAACCTACAAGCAACGGTGAGAATAGTATGGAATGAGGATGGATGAAGTTTTCAAATGGTCAACCGATAGTCAACCGATAGGTTTTTGGGTTACAGAGATTCGTGAAACGCGAGTCTTCTCAGTCGGGAGCTGGATCTACCATTCTGTTCTTGTTGCGATCCAATTGATTTACCACATTTCTTCCAAGTCTGGCTTGACATCTCCCTTGAACATCCTGAAGTTCCTACCCGCAGAAACTTTCTTTTTGGGATCGCACAGGTAACTTCTTGAGTCAATGGACCCTGGAACTTGGGATCCTGTCAGGGGGTTAAAGTCTTCCTCAAAGTGGCAAGGCAAAAGCAGCACCAAGATTTGCAGAGCTCTAAGGAGGGTATTTTTGATCCCAGATTTTGTTTCGCGCAAAAGGTTGCAGGATTCTGCTGTATTTGGAGAACTCTCATCTCCTGGTCTTCCTGTACAAAAGCAATTGATTTTTGAGTTTACGTCTCCAAACCTAAATGGCGCTTTCCCAAAATGGAGGTCCCCCAAAATCATCCACTGAAAAATAGGATTTTTGTGGATTTTCCATTATAAACCATCCATTGTTGGGATATCCCCATTTATGGAAACCCAATATTATCATACATTATATATATTATATAACTTATAACTGTACTATTTTCATTTTCCATCCATTGTTGGGTACCTCATTTTAAACCAATGATTTAGAAAATCCTGAGAAAACCATAGAAGACCACGATTTCCATAAAAAAACCCTCTGGTAATTTCTTACATAGCTATTTTTCAGCCATAGAAATCGTGGTTTACCCATTGTTTCAATGACGCCACAGGTTGGAGATGAGGCCCGGCCCCATGACCTGGAGAAAAACGGGTGAAAAACTGGAACTGCGAAGACGAAACTCTGGATTTCAAGGATTTCAAGGATTTATTCATAGAATTGGATGATGGGAAAATTTACAGGAAAGCCCTATATTTGATGGTAAAAACCATGGTTTCCTGTAGATTTTCCCTTAAACCAATCCAGTGATTTATGATTTATATATTTTTTTGAAATGTATTTTAAAAATTTTTTAAATGATTTATGTTTTTTTTTCTGTGTAAAAACAAATACATTTCATTTGTTGGACCACAACACTGGATTGAACGGATACCTCACACATAAGACATTGTCAAACTAATATGTGACTTACCCTCTAGCAACCAAACGTGGCAATGGGCAATTCCCTATACATATATTATATATATACATATATATATACACACATATATATATAGACATATATATATATATATAAATGGAGGTTTTAGGGGAAACTAAATGGTCGATTTTTCAGCAAGCCACGTTCACAGGAGGGTAACCAATATAGACTACTTTTAAGAATGATTAACTATTATTGAGTATTACAGTATTACGTATTATTAAGTATTATTAACTATTGGTTCCTATTATGAGCAGTCCTTTAATAGCAACTATCATTAAGTATCATTAGCTGCTATTAACTATTTGTAAGTATTATTGACTATCATCAGGTATTAATTACTAAACATTAGTTTACATTATTAACTAGTTTATCAACTATTCTTAGCTATTTGTTACCCTCAATTTGAATTAAGTATTAATAATTATTACTATCATCAAGTAATAAATATTTATCTTACTATCCCTAATTAACTATTACTATCCCATTCATCATTGGTTTCCATTGGTTTCCGCGCAAGACGTTGCTGGCCCGAAACCCGAGTCACAGGATCGACCGGTGAAACGCTTGCGGATTGCCAGCGAAGAAGGTTGGAACAATGACCGGGGATGGTTGGAATAAAAGCCAATGGAAAGCAATGGTTATCCTCTGGTAAACATACAAAAAGCTATTGAACATGGCCATAGAAATAGTGAGTTTTCCCATTAAAAATGGTGATTTTCCATAGTTATGTAAACGTTTACCAGAGGGCAATGGTGGTTAATCACAGTTCATAGTAGTTAATAATAATTAATGCCATAACTAATGGTGATGACTTGGGGATGGTGCAATTGGACATTAGGTTTAGAAGAAATTAATAGAGATGGGAGTACACTCAAACTGCTTGATGGTTTGAACTACGTATGCCCAACAGCTGGGAGATTCAAACCTCCTTTGGTAAGTGTGCTGGAGGGTCCTCTACTTGTGATGAAAGGATATCAAATGACGCCCCAGAACCGCCACTAGGTTCAACTCCAGTTAGGTAGTGATGACTATAACCCCATGAAGAATATCCATTGTCTAGCTCTGCCCATCCCTTCCATTGCCTTTACACCACCAGACCATTTGTGAGACACGGAGACACGTGCAGGGCAGCCGGTGAGACGAAGCAAACGACTGGCGAATCGATGAGAGGGAGGGCTGCTGTGCCTGCGTGGCCCAGAGCCTCCTGATTTTCCTTGAGAGTTTTAGAAGAGACTGGTGGTTTCCTGCCGGGTTTTCTGAATCCGATTCAGTCTGACTGGTGGTTTTCATGGTCCGAATAACCTTTGAGATCATGAATTTCTCATGGTCAGCCCTTCATGACATTTTTGGTGATGGAAACCCAATGATTGTTTTCTATGGTGGAGCTCTGGCTCGAGCTTTGGCAAAACCCAAAGGTGGTTGCCATGCAATTTGTACAGTAGACTGGTTGGAATCAATGGGGAATGAATAGGACATAACAGTTCTTGACTGCCCAAACAACATATTATTTAAGATTTCTTCAGTTTCCATTCCTTTGAGACGAAGACTCCAAATGACCAGCATGTTCCGCACTGGGTTTGTCCCAAAATATGTTTTGTTTTCTTGCGAAAACAATGATAACACATGGAGTTTCCGGGGAGGCATGGGCTTGTCTGAAAATATCTCCGAAATTTCGGTGAATTACCATCATCTTCACAGATGTCAAGAGATTCATATGTCCTGTATCTTTTTCATTCTGGTTGGTTTAGTCCCTATTGCCTCTCAAATTACTGTACTGTAGTAATATTATATATATACACAGTTGTTAGAATTATACATTATTGTATATATAATCTTACATCACAAGCTTTTGCTTATCCTGCAGGGGATAGGATTAATGACATAACCACAACATGCCATGGACATGGACGATGCAAAAGAAAGCTGCCAACCAGGAGGGTTCGTCAAAAATTGGACGGCTCATGCAGGATGGACGTGGCATGACCGACCGCGGGGGACTGGGTAGAAAGAGACGGTGCCGTGACATGCGCAGCGGGGAGCATTGATAACAACCAAGACAACGGGTGCCAATATATTTGTTTTGTCTCACATTTGACGGGATATACCCTCATTTTACGGCGATGTTGATTTTTTAAAAGGGGATCATCATGATGACACATGGGAGTTTGGGGCTTCAGATTTTGAGAACCGAATGTCTTAGAACAAATGTCATACACTAAAGATCCTTGGTTCCACACTCCATAGGCAGGTGGAATGCATTGGAATTTGACAATCAAATGGGCCTGATGTGTGCACTGGTTGTCCCTCACATTCAGAGCAAAGTGAGAACCGCATGCATATGGTCAAGCCTCTCAAAATTAGGCCCATGGCGTCAAATCCATCTTGGTTTGGGATACCCTAATGTAAATTAATATGATCTGATATGGAGAATCCATGGTATCCCAACAGGAAGATGATCTACTGTACATTTCTGGTTGGTTTTTTCATATAAATTTGTTTGCAGCCGCACCCCTGTGCTTTCCGCAGTTCTCAAGAGCACTCAACCACTAGCGCTTGGCTTGGCGACGTTCAGTCGCCCCGATGTGGCAAACATGTCAGCCTTTTTCAAGTATTTATCATTTTGCTCATATATATATATATAATTATTATACATCTATTTATACTGCTGTAGTAGGTGATACATGGACTTCGAGCTTTACTTATCTATGTTCGACTATTTTCCTAGCCCTATGATGTGGAGAAGATAGCAGCATCATGAGACCTGGATTTGAGTTTTGGATTCACTATCAGCCGCGTGGGGTTCATATCCGTCCCGGAATTGGTTGAACCCTTCGTTTGTCTGGGAAAAAGACTCTGGTTTTCTGTACTTTTGTTCCCATAAATGAAACAAAGACATCTAGGATCATCTAGGTCCGCATGTATTAATCATGTATAGAAACCCCGAGAAAGATAGAAAAGTACATTTCCACTAAATTTTAGTAGGATTTCACTGTTCTATTTTTTCCGGGGGTACTTTTTATTTGTACTTTTCGATATCCAGCCATCAATCAAGATTCTACCTGTCCTTCCTCCCGTGCTCTGAACATATTTCTTCTGCGCAGCGCCGTGTGCCCATGCGAAGCTTCCGACTGGCCCGTCTGGCCGAGGGCTTTCAACGTGCCATGGCTAGGTGGCCAATGGGAACCACCATGGCCAACACCACGGTCCTTTGGGTCGTGCCTCCTGGCCAAAGTTGGGTCACCATGTTTGGGTCTCAGGCCAACATCTAAGTGGTTTATCAATGTTTATCATAGACTGAAAAAACAAATCAATAATTATCAATAATTTAATCATCATTTCACACATTCTCATCATTTCCCTGAAAAAAAATGATTCTTGAAATGGGGGGTTCTACCTGTATGCCCCATTTCTGGGCGATGAAATCAATGGAGGGCACTAATGTCTTGAGCCAATACCATTCTTTTTCCAATGGGCGGCCTACTGAATCTGGAAGGCATCCGTACGTCCAACGGATGGTTTTTTTTCGTTGTTTCATCACTTGGATTATTGTTTTGTTGGGATGGTGGCTCAACCACCACCAAAATTCTGATGTTATTTCTAAAATGTGCATATTTTTTTCATCTTGTCATGTCATACAATTCGACATCAGCCAGATAGACATTGTACATGTTGTTTTGTGCCTGCGCAACGGATCTAAGATCTGACTCTCTTTCTCAATCCATTGCGCCAGAGCAGATGGACCTGGGTCACGATTGGGCGAGGACAGGGCGGATGGTGAGCTATGGCGTTTTCTTCTATGCTGGGCTTGCCTTGAAATGGTATGATGCTGGGCTGGTCAAGTATAGAAACCCCAAAAAGATGGACGAGTAACGTCCTACTAACATAATTAACATAGTGGTGAATTGCTTTTCGAGGATTTTTCGAGGTTTTTGGGGATTACTTTTCCACAATGTGACAAGGGTTCATCATTTTGCCTATAAGAATTGCCATTTTAGGTGGGTTTACGCCATTTTCAGACACGCCCAGGCAACATACTGTATCTACATGTATCATCAACTATCAGGTCTACCACAAAATTCCACTGTGGCTGGTTGGTGGTTTCAAACGCATCCTGGGATGGCGACCTGAAGTGACTCATAATTTCAGGTGGCTAAAAAAAAAACCACCAGATGACGCATGTGGCCCATTTGGTCCCTAAAACATGCTTGCGACTTTGCCTTTTAAGGCTTTACTTGGTGAGGTTGTCAAGGGTGAGTTTCGGCTGGTTTTGAGATGTACTCCGACAGCACGATTTTGATCTTGGGTTGGCTTTTTGGTTTTGGCAGGTTGGAAAGGGGAACAGTGGGGCAAAGCAACCTGAGGATTTGTTGGAGAGGAAATTTCCGATGACGTCGATCCGCATGGTTTCTTGCAAGGTGGCCGCAGACCAACTGATTTTCACTCCCATCACAGCATCGTCCCTGTTCTTCTTGACAACGCTTCTGGAAGGGAAAAGCGTCCAAACTGCCCGCGAAAAGGTGGAGGAACGCTTGCTGCCAACCCTAAAGATGAACTGGTGCATCTGGCCATTTATTCAAGCAGTAAACCTTAGTGTAGTGCCACCACCCTGGCGCATTCTGGTCATCAATGCTGCATGCATCCCATGGCTGGCCTTCGTTTCATGGATGGCCAATAAACGCACAGAACATGGTACCGCAGCGACCGGTTCCATCACCTGGCCTGAGCCGAGCTGGACAAAGCTGTCTACTGGCAGAATCCAAGAGGCAGTTGTATAGATGTGCAGATCAAAGGATTCCTAGGTAATGGCCTTGACCACAAAAAGATGTAGGTGATTTTTAAAATCCAAGTCCTGTAATTGTCCTTGCATGAAGAACCTGGTGTTTGTTCTTCATGCCATCGAATTTTTGTGCCTGTACAGCAAGCATGCATTTGCTGGAAATGGCTGAAAGCTGTCAATTTGACAACGAGATATGCAGCGATGGCTGTTCAGCTACTAGTCAGAATGCCCAGAACTCCAAACAAACTGAGATTCTGAAACCAGGGTCAGAGTCAGCAACCCGCTTCCCAAGGTAGGATGGATCATTGGGCCATTGGTTGGACAAGTCTGGGCACGAAATTCAGATAGACCAAAGACTTGCGGCTCTGATGGATAGGAAACGAGCGGCTGCAGCTTCTGCCCATTTTTTTCATCGCGACGGTTTTTCGATTCCAAAATATTCCAAACACCAAACTCAAACCTCCAGTGATCTCCAGTGCGTCATGGGTTGATAAGATTAGGTCTCTTGGATCGGATGTAAAATAGTTAGTCCTTGTATTTGTTGAGAAATGATGTTGCGTCATAGCATGAGACAAACCATAAACTTCAAGCCACTGGCTGGCAATCAGAGGGTTTAACCATGTTTAACCTATATTTTTCTCAGCCAACAGGTAGGTGATAGAAAATGGATGTAAATGGAATCATCCCGCATATTTATTGGATTTCATTGCTTCATATATCTTCATATCACCTCCAGGATCTCTGTTTTTGTGGTTGATATCTCTGTGTAAGCCTTATTAAACCATGAAGACGTGATAGTATCTCGATGGGATCATCCCCCACGTACTAGCCTCAGAACCATCCCAGTAGACATTGGGAAGGTGTCAGCTGGAGGCGAAGCGACGATAGTTATTTTTTCAACGGCAAAAAAGGGCACCTCCCATTAGGGATGGTTGAGACCGAATTGGGGATGCCAAAACTCATTGGGTGTACCGTCATTATCTCATGATGTAAAAGCACGGGACAATTTCAACCCCGGATTGATAAACCGGGTGGGTTACCCCCCAAATAGTGAAAAATCACTATCAAGATTGATACCCATTAAGAAACTGAATGTTGACCAATCCTGGGTCGACATTATCCCCACAAATTTATACAAATTTCCCATTGCCTCTACCCAAGGTTTCCTTAGGAACATGATCTACAAATGGACAAATGGTAGGTTTTCCACATCTATGTTAGTACCTAGTCTATAGATAGATTATAGATGTTTACAGTAACCCCCGAAAAGATGCCGAAACGTGTTTCCAGGATGGTATAGAATAGAATGTTTCCTCATATTTCCAGGCTTTCCAACTTTCCAACTTTGCTATCTATGACTTGGGGTTGCCAGGAGGCGGCTATTTCAATAGGAGGGTGACCACCCACATTCTTTGAGGCGGAAGCGCCTTCCCATCCCGCTAGCCCAGCGGCGCCGGCCGACGCGCCGACATCGCCCTGAGTGGGTGACGACTCGTGGGGACGACTGTTTCGGGCAGAACAGCAGCTCAACAAGTTGGTTCTTCCAAGATCTGCAATGTGGGTAAAACAATGCCATGAACCACCCATGACTGGGAATGGTTTATCCGGTTTATCCTATAAAAATGGTGATTTGGAGGTTGGTTTATTATGGTTTTACCATGTTTTACCATGTTTTACCATGTTTTACCATGTTTTACCCACATTCGTGATCTGTGGAGATGCCAATTCCCAGCAGATTGCGAGGCCCGAAGACGGCCAAGCACTGGGCCCCAAAGTTGGGTCGCATCGAGAAGACACACCAGAAAAGATGCGAAAGATGAGGGATGAGTGATGATGAGTGATGATGGGTGTGGTTTCAAGAACCTCCTATTGATCTTTTATGATCTTTTATGATCTTTTATGATCTTTTATGATCTTTTATGTGTTGTTTTCCCCGAAACAAGACGACACAGATACGCGCACACACACACACGAAGAAATATAGGGTTTTCTCAAGAATTTTCACCTCCAAAACCAGCAGAATGAAATAGTAAATTTGCAGGAATCACCCAGTCATTTTGAGGAATCAACCAGGCACAACCACTTGGGGATTGTCTGAAAATAAGGCACCCAAATTCATACAAAATTCTCATTTGTTTATTTAATCGTATCGAGGTATCCCCCATGTTCAGACAAACCCAAATCCACTTGTCAGAAATAAAATATGGTTAAATCACCATTCTTCATGGCTAAATCTATGTAAATCTTGCATGTTTCACCAGTTTTCAGGGTGAAAATCATTGCAGATCAATGTTACTGTAATACGTAAATCATGTTAAATCCCATGAAATTCCGCTTGAATCAACATTTAATGAATCAACTCGGGAGAAGCAAACATAGCAGCCCCATTCAGCCTTCGCCGCCAGGCCAAAGATTGGGAAGCCCGGAAGGCGGCTCGACAGACCGAGCAACTGGCCCTCCAGGACAGGATGGATAGGGCTCCAATATTTATAGATGATTTATAGATGATTTATAGATGATTTTTGTTGTGTTCCATTTGGATAAAGTGGTACTAAATGGGATATGAGAGGATAAAATGGGATGGGATATATGGGAATATAAAGTAACAGTTTGACCATGAGAATCACTAGGTTTCAGAGGAAGGTAGTCTTCCAGCCCCCTTATTTGGCAGGGTTTATCTGAATTTGGGGGATGGCATCAAGATTTTGAGGATTTATAGTGATTTATATATTCATCAACTGAACAGATGTTTCATACATAGGGACAAATGGGGGTACTCGTATGATTCACGACAGATTCGCGATGATTGGGGGGATGTTCACCCCAAAAAAGGCGATGTTCCACTAGAACTGGCAGGCACTTGACAGGGCGTTGCGAAGGCTTGAAGGCAGGGTAATGAAGTATGATTGATATGATTGATTGCGGTTTATAAGGTAGAGATGGTTACAACATCTTACAACATGTTACAACATGTTAAGGTTGTAGCATGTTATAAACACAGGGATCACCATCAACCAATAGCAAGGGATGATGTCTGGCATGAGTCAAGCCACCTCTCTTTTCATGTCTCAAATTAAGGCATCCCATATTGTTCCTCTTTAAATCTTCATAAACTGGGGGTAAATATGGGTAAATCATATTAAATCGTGGACGAAGGGTGGACGTATTGGTTCAGAATGTTGGAAACTGTGCTAATTCCAACACTTCCATGGCCATTTTTTGGTGCCATGCTCGAGGACACCATCAAGATGTTGAACTCCGATGAGTCTTTGGATCTCTTCAGGCCAGAAAAATATAGAAAAATCGTGACCCACATGTGAAGCGGCCTTGATGTCGGCACGGTGGCACCAGTGAAATATCGGCAAGATAAGGTGGTAATTTCAAAACATCTCAACCACACCCCCAGTTAATCCCAATAATTTTTGGATATGTAGTAAGGTGGGCTATGGATGTTTGAGGATATTTAAGAGGTATTTAACCACACTATGACACTATAGAAGTTTGAGTGTTGCATATTATATATTGGTATTGGAATTGCCACATTTGCCGACGAGTTCCCCAGGAAGCGCAGCACAGCCTTGTTGCAGTTGTCCAGCAATCGTCAGAAGGCGGAATGTTGGGGTCGTTTTGAAAAAAGAAGTGCGGAATGTTGGGGTAACTACAGTACCATCCAAAATTGACGGACACAATGCTTTACCTATTTCAACATGTGTTTAAAAATGTTTTAAACGTTTTAACTTTCTCTGGCAAAAAGAGCAAAAGCTTGGGATTTCACCAGCAACATCATCTACTGGTAGTCAAAGCTGTCAATGGGAAAGCACAATTTCCAAGCGGAAAATGGAGGAAACTGAGACAACTCATCTAGACATCAGAGATTTGCTGGAAAGGAGAAGCATGTGACAAGCCGCCTGCCATTTGGTGAATCATCTTGGTGGGGGTTCCCCACGTGGATGCCAACACCAACTAGCCCGATACACCCTGCGCAGTGTGCCGTTGTTTTTGACCTTGGACCATCTTGGAGCCATATCAGGAGGTCAAGACAACATGTTCATGTGTGCCGTGGTCAGGGGCATGGTCATTTCATGTCATTTCTTCATTGATAGGGTTTCATAGATCCATGGATATCATGGATCATCACCAATCCGGACATCCCCTTCATCAATTTTGATTGGGTTAGCGGGAACATCCTAACCGTTTTTCCCATGGGTTCTTCCCATGGGTTTTTCCGATGACTTATGAGGGCTTCCATGGTTTTTCCATGTCCAGTGGACCATTTCCCTTAAACCAAGCCATTGCTTGGTGGGATGACCATATTGCCTGTTGCAGGTTCGCAAGGCCCTGGCCCTGGTGAAGGCGGCCAAAGCCAAGGCACGGGCTGAGTCACGGTCAAGACATGTCAAGTGGGCCACCACGGGATTTAATGAAAGGACTGGAGAAACATAGGGATGTCCCTGGCAAGCCCAAGTCATAGATAGAACAGTTGAAAACTCAGGACATGTAAGGCAAATACTGTATCCATCCGGACCATCCTGGAAACACTTTTCGGCATGCTTTTTTTTGGGGGTTACTATATATTATATAAAATTATATGGCTATGGATCAATACCTATTAATACCATTTTTAGGGGAATGAACATCCATTTACCAGCTATTTTGATGTTCACCAGGGGTACAAGGTTTTGACACACTGCCATATAAATATGGTTTAGATGGACATGGGGCTTAGGATGGGGATTTGACGCTCAGCCCCTGGGATTCGGCACAACTGATCCGATGGCTTTGCGGCGGTAAGTGGGGTGTGTAATACTGTAATCCTATTAGTAATCATGTAATCCTACTAAGTGGTAAGTGGGGAGCCAAAGACTTGATCATTTTTTCTGCAGTTGCATCTTTTGAAATGTTGGGTGAGTTGTGGCCAGCACTTGGAAGGTCATTCCAATTAAAAACTGCTCAATGCCCCTGGTCCGTGTGTCCCCAAGGGTTGTACCATTTAGAGTTTAGAAGATTTTGGAAGTGGACAACTTAAGCATACTTGCTTGCATATTTGTACTTATGTACCAGTTACAAGCCGTTGGATCATCCTCCAAGTACAGTGCCAATGATGATAAGTAGCTTAAAAGCCTGTAGCTAGTGACTAGTCATCACTGGTCATCACTAGTCAGAGGTAGTTGTAGCCCTTCACAAGCTAGGATCGTGGCGCACTGTAGGCTTGGCCTCTGATCCTTGAGGGAAATGATCTTGAAAAGAACATCTTGAA